CTTTGGGGACTAAAAGCGGCAGCCGGGGGCACGGTTGGCGGGGGGCGGAGGCGGAGGAGCCAGTGCTCCGCAGAGCCGGTGAAAATCCTCCCAGGCAGGAGGGCTCCTGACCCTCGCCACTGGACCGTGGCGTCACGGGATCCGGGAGAAACCTCCAGGTGAGTCAGCCCAGGTGGGAGCTGCTCCTGGGTCACCTGCCAGGAAAGCCTGCCTGTACGTCTTCCTGTTGATGCAGGAAACCGCTGACTCAGTTTCCAGCCACTTTGCCTTACTGACTGTTCCGAGAAAGCCCTTAGCCAGCAAAGTGCCCGTGGCCCTTGGACCCAGGTCCAAGCTGTGCTGTCAGAGACGCTTCTGCCTGGCGCTCTGAGGACACCGACCCTCCCCTCTGTCCCATCTGACCCTTCCCTTGACCAGCCAGGAATATTTTCCAGATGGTCAAATTGGTCTGTCGTTCAGACCCTCAAGGGGTTTATGGGCAGAACAAGTCTCAGAGGGAGTTTGGCCCCGTGCCCTGGTTGATCAACCTGGGAACCTTAAACAGGCAGCTTTCTAGACCTCTCCCCTCCGGGGTGAGGGTGTGCAGAAGGCAGGTCCAGCCACTGCCGTGCAGTCCTGGCTGCATCCAAGGAGGGCTATAGCAAAATGCCTGCCTTGCCTGCTTGGGATGAGTGTTCAGAAAATGCCGCTCACCTGGAACGCTGCGGTCAGCGGGGGCTGTTATGTTGGGTCTGGAGGCTGAAATTGCCTCTTGTTCCTGTGTGATTCAGTAAGAACCAACCTGGATTCTGGGTAATAAGGACCCCAGGACTGAAACCCTTCTGGGGACTTCTAGAAGCCCACACCTGGAAGGGGGATCAGGACTCTGCCCCCCACCCCTTCAAAGCAGAAGGGCCAGCTCAGCCCTTAGACATGACTTGGGCTTGACCGCTTTGCCTTCTGACTCTGCCTTGGTGGCCATCAAAATGTCTTCCATGCCTGGGCTAGCTCCTTCTTTCAGAAGTCCAGGGTTGTTTACTCCCATTCATAAGATGCAGTTTTCTGCTATTTTGGTTTTTTTACTAGAGTTTCAAAATGTTTATTTTACTGTATGCACTATGGAAGGCCTCTAGGGGCCAAAAGACAGTCTACATTTGAATGCAAGTGCTTTGCCAGAGAAGAGCGAAACATTCTGCATCAGCCCACAAACTTCACCTCACCCAGAGGCTGTGACCCAGACTGGCCCAACATAGTTTCTTGAGTTTCTATCACATGCTCTGCCCAAACACACAAACCTATGATGGCTTAACAAGTTTCATGATTTAACAGGACACAACCTGCCAAAACAATAACTTCATTCCCACTGTACACTGAACCACAAACTACCAAGCCCATTTTAGCTGGTCCAACATGTCATGTGAACCAGACCAGCAAGCATGAGCTGCTGTTGAGTAAGACAGCGTGGGTGCCAATAGTCGTCTTCACACCTTTGATAAAAACTCAACATTCCACTTTTTCCAGGGCAGGTGTTGTTATGCAGAACTGACCACAGCTGCTTTTCAGTGCCTAGAAGGCACAGTGGCCTGCCTTGTGTGGACCCCAGAGCGGTTAATCAGATCACTATCTCTGGTAACCTTGCTGGGGCAGTTCCACACGCAATTTTACCATTACATGGCAGTGAGAAAAAGCTGCACAGCTGGTGACCCAAAGAACAGCTCTGGGCTTGAGATGCACCCTGTGCTAACTCTCTTCCGTAACATTGGAGGGAAAGTCTGCTGAATTCAAGTTAGACGTTGAAGCCACAGACAATGGGCTGAGGAGGTGCAAGTCTTTCCTTGCAACCCAGCCAGTCTTGCTCTCTCACAGACGCTCATGCGGGCACTCGCACAGACACACTCGCGCACGTTACCCAGGCAATAGCAGCAGCACTTCCACGTGAGGCATTCTGGGGGGAGGGACTTTCAACTTGAGGGATGCAGCCTTTCCAAAACAGACGCAGCTCCTGGCATTCCTAATGGCTTGTCCCCTCTTGCAGCCCAAGCTTTGAGTGCTGCACACAGAAATAAAATCCATGCTTATATCTTTTTATTAGTTTTTAGAATGCGTGCAGAGAAGAGATTCACTAACTGAAAGCGAAAGTTGGTTCTGTTTCTATAATGCTACCAGTGTTAATATGGAATTATCATACCTATTGATAAACCTTCCTCTCCCTCCTGCTGCTATAAAGGGTGAAGCAAGGCTGTCGCACAGCCCCACCCAGCATACCACCTGAGAGATGAAAACTGGGAATTAGGGTGAGGGCTCACGCCTCTCCAGCAGCAATCCCTGCCCCACTTCTGCTTTTTCTGAAGGCGGGTCTAGGCCCACGTCCCAGCCATCCATCGGGAATGCCCTACGAGTCAAGTCTCCTTTGTAGGTCCAGTAAGAAGATTGCTGGCATGGCCATCGAGGCGGGGCAGGTTTCGAGGAGGAGAGTGTCGTCAGAAATGTTCCGGAGTGCGGAGCGGATGCCCTTCCCATCCTGGTACATCACACTCTGCTTTCAGCCATAGCTGTGGGGGCTATTGGGACTGATGGGAGAGGAATCCTGACGTCCCAACTGGCCCTTCAGCTGCCAAAGCCGATGGCTAAGATTTTGCACTTGGCAGGTGCCCAAAGCACAACCGACGCGCATTAGTTGGGCAGCACGGGGCTTTCGGCGAAGGACTGGCATCGGTGTGGGCTGGAGCAGGCGGCCAGAGCCAAGCTGCAGGGGGTCCAGTCTGCATCTGGGTGGTTCTCGGAGGGCTGGGCTGTCTGCCATCCCAGGCTGCTTCTGAGCCAGCCAAGGCACCCCATTCTTCTTAGAAAGCCTCTTTGGAAGCCAGGTAAAACTGTGGCTTGGGGCCCAAGATTTCCTGCAATGAAAGAACAGGAGAGGCTTAGAGGGCCTCCTGAGGGGCAGGGGGGAAAGAAGAGCTGGGGGCAGAGGAATGCTGGACTCAGGCACTTCCCGGTGAGAAGGGGGAATGCTCCTTCCCCTGTTCTAGAACTTGGCGGTCTAAGTCTGAAAGGTGATGGGAATCCACTGCGCATTGACCAGACTATCCATAATATGGTTGATCTTGGGGGTATAGTGTGATATGTGCAGACAATACTTTGTTTTGTTAGTGAATTGTGTGAACTCTGCCTAGATACAGGAATAATTTTTCGCAGGAAGCTTATATCTCCCCATCTCAAGTGTCCCAGGCAGGCAGGCATTAGCTGAAGTCAAGCAGCAGCAAGAAAGGCTGCATTTGTCACACCCTTGCCGGAGTAGGAGGTGCAGGGGGGGGTGGACCAGAGCTTTCTAACATTGCCACTCATAAGCTTCGAGTTTCCCGGAGTTGGTGTCTGTTGGAGAAAAGCTGCAGAAACCTTTAATTTGCCTCCCCGACTCAGTGTCGGTCCCCTCCCCACTGCCAATTAACATATCCTGGCACCTCTGCCCCTTTCCTCTTTGTTTCGGACTCCCTGTTTTTCACGGACTCCCTCGGATTCCTAGGGAACCAGATGATATTGGAACATCTGGCCTTTCCATTAGGTGGGGCTGATCGGGGAGTTCTTGAAAATACAAAAGCAGGAAGAAGAAAATAAAACTCTAAGCAAATACTTTGCTAGAGCTTTGCTCTGATGCCTCTGCTGATGCCCAAACAACGGAACAGTCTGCAAACACTGACTTGTCCTGTGTGGGAAGGAACAGGCCCTGTTTTAACAGGAATAATTTTGCAGACCCTATGGGATCGGGACCCAGAAAGTCTGCATGGGAACAGCTGGGCAAGTCACCCACCATTCTAGCTCTCAAAGAGAAAGAGAAAGAAACCCTGCAGTGGACTGCTTGGCTCCCCGGGAGATAAGACCAACATAGTAAGCATCTTCCTTCTGGCGGGCCTGGCAGTGCACCCAAGCAGCCAGGATCCTTCTTGGCCACATCCTCTACTGGGTCTCCAAGCACGCCGAGAAGTTAAAGTTGGTGTCCCTAGACTGGATTTTCAGAATGGAGATGGCAATGGCTTTGCCTCTCTCAAAAGCATCCTGCTGCTGAGAATCTGGAGAAATTGCTTTTCCACATGGCCAGAGAACCATATACTTTTTCCATGCATGGAACCTGGGTCCCAATCTAGAAAAAAATCAGGGAACAGC